AAAAAAGAGGAACCAATGTAATAATCTGAACAATAAAGATTTAATTTTAAAAAAAACATACTAAAATGAAGACTTCTACCCAAAAATTAGTGAAATATTACTTTATATGCTTTAAATTAAAATAAAATGTGCACTTCCCATGATCCCCTTCTTAAACTGGCTTCTCCCGTTAACTGATCAACTAGTGGATAATTTTATTTTCAGGTTGTCAATTCTCAGTCCTCATTTTACTTACCACCAACATCTGACACAACTGATGTCTCTGTGCTCACTGATGTACACTTCTACTGGATGTCCTCATGTCATACCTCACTGGTCACTCTTTAATGTTGTCCCTTTATTGGTCCCTCCACTTTTTCCAGATTTCTTAATGACAGAGTGTTGGAAGGCTCATTTTTCTCTATCTGTGTTCACTTCCTTGGTGATCTCTTTCAGTCCTCTGACTCGAAATATCATCTATAGACTGCTGACTCTCAGATTCGCATATCGAGCTCATACTCATCTTTGGAATTCTTGCTGACTTGACATCTCCACATAGTTCCACCAGACAGCTCAGATTCATACACCCCAAGCTGAGCTTCTGGTCTTCACTAGCAAAAGCTGCTTCACCCGCAGCCTTCCCCTGGACAGCTGACAGCAACTCCATCCTGCCAGTTGGTTGCTCAGGCTGAAACCTAGAGTTTTCCACAAATCCCTTCTCTCATACTTTAAAAAAAAAAAAAATTAGTTTCCAATTACAGTTTATGTTCACTATCATTTTGTATAAGTTTCACTCCCCTCTCTCATACTTCAATTTCAACCCAGCAGAAGGTTCTCTTGGCTCTATCTTCAGCTATATCAGAACCAAACCACTTCTCGCTAACTCGTCGGCTACAATCCTAGATTGAGTCCTCATTACTGTCTCTTACCTAGAATGCTACACCAGTGACCTAAGAAGTCCCCTGATTCTACCTGTGACTTCTTATAGTCTATTCTCAAAAACACAATCAGTGAGCTACTAAAATGTACTTTAGATCCTGTCACTCCTATACTCAAACATTGACATGGCTCCTCAAGTCCCTATGATGCTACATTTTCAACAAGATCAGGATCCTAGCCCCACCACATCCTGGAACTTCTCTGGCCTGCTTTCCTTCTTCTCTCCCCTTGCTCATTCTAACCCAGTCACTCTGGCAGTTCCTCAGACATGAAGGTATGACCCTAACTTAGGGCCTTTGTCCACCTGGATGTTTGGCCTGGAAAGTTCCTCACCTCCTTCGAGTGTCTGCTTAGGTATCAGTGAGGCAACCCTGTCCATCATTTTAAAAATTGAAACTTCCAACCCCATTTAAAAAACTCCCATTCCCAACCCTCCCAACCTCCTTAATGTTTTCCATAGTGCACAATACCATCTTACATACCCTAGAATGAATTAGCTATGTCTACTGGATTGTGTGATAATCTCAACATAAGAGGTCATACATACTGTTTTGTATGCATGAACCCACAAATGAAACTTTCATAAAATGTGCTGAGAGCACATATTCTTCAAGTTGGAAGGAACCAAAAAGATCACCAATTATCTTCATAGACAGGTAGGCAAATAGATGTGGAGAGACAATCGACTTTCCTGGGTTCATACAACCAGCTAATGGCAAAGTATCTAGCCATGATTTCTCATACCCTGTTAAACTCATGTCTACAAAGACAACCTAAGTCAGAAGAAAAGAGTGATACCCTAAGTCAGAAGAATGACTTAGAATGCTTTCCTAGGTAAGTAAAATACAAGGAAGATCTTGCATTATTTGAATAGCAACTCATTCCGTAAAGAGCAATTCTACATGGAAAAATAATTACCACAGTTGTAATCAATAAAGTGTTTTTATAACAGCTCGGGTTCAAAGAAAGCTAAACAGAGAATGAGAAACTGAGTTGCACTAAAATTTTACCCATGGTCCCAGAGGCCCTGCCTTGTGGATGCGGGATGAACAGTGGGGCTGTGAAGGCACTCACTCAGATTCTCCAGCAGATGCTTGCAGTCATCAGTGGCCACATCATGTGCAGTCCGACCGCACTTATCTCTCCTTTCTGGCTCAAGCCCGCCATGCCTACACAGAATTTCTAGGCAATTCTGTAAAGACAAGAGCTCTATTACCTTCCGTCCAAATTAAGAGACTTGAGCTAAAACCCCACGGGAAAAGTCATTTGCCCACAGCAAACAAATCAGGAATTCTCCAGCAACTCAAACTAAACAGTGTCCCAAAATGAAAAGCAAAGAATGCTTCATTGAACTGTGAAGCACAGGATCAAAACAATGCTCCACAGAATAGCCTCTTATGTTTCAAGAGAAAAAAATCAGTTTACTAATCACCCAATTTGCAGAGTGAAATTAGGAAAGAAATTGACTTCGCCAGACAGTATCCCTCAATGTTAATTTCACAACATAAAGCAAAAGGGCTTTTGCTACAACTGGATGCTGCTTGCTGAATACTGGACTATGAACTGCTTTCCTGATCATGTGAGTGTGGGACTCCAATGGTAACAATTCTGTCCCAGAGTCCTCGTAAGCACTTTTTTTATTTGAGATCTTATAGTGTCTGTTTTGCTTTTTTAATTTTAAATATATAAAGATCATGTTGGTTGAATTTTGAGAAAAACATTCCCAATAGATATTGAAGTTATGTTCCCTCTCTTTTTCAGCTTTTCTTCTTTTGTACTGCTTAAGGAAATCTTCACTCAAAAAATATCAGTAACCTACAAACTGACAAGTCTTATTTTCCAAACCAAAGTAGAAATAAATGCAAACATTTCTAATAAATAACTGTCCAGCAGGATGTTACCTTCGGATATTTACCAAGGAACTCTACTAGCTCAACTTTTACCACATTATGTTTTGTTTCCTGATTTCCCATAAGAATAAGCACAAAACTGAACAGACCAGAATCTATGGCAAGGAACTAACAACCAAAACAAGCAACATCTTTCTCATCATTTCCCTAAACAAACAAACACACACATACACACACACACACACACACACACACACACACACACTTTCTGTTTGGCAAAACACACTTTTTTTATGTGAATATTTTACTGAAGCATATAGTATTCGCATAGAAAGTACACACGTATTCAGCTTAAAGAATGATCACAAAGTACAATACTTGTGTAAGGAGCACTTTACTTTGTAAGCGTTCATCTCAATCTCTAGCCCCCTCCCTTCTCTCCCCATCTTCCCCCGAACACCGTGCCACCTAGGTATATACTATTCTGATTCTAGTATTAGAGATTGGCTAGCTTGCTAATGAACTTTATATAAATGGAATCATTCTGCAGACACACTTTTATATTTGGCTTGTTTCAGTCAACATAATGTCTATACAATTTATCCATGTGTTGGGAGTAGTCATTGTTCATCTTTTTGTTTTGCACTTTTTAAAATTACCATGTGGCACTCTCTAATGTCAATATACCACAATTTCCTTACTTACCTAAGCTCTTATGGATGGACATTTGGGTCCTACTATGAAAATTCTAGCACAAGTCCTTTGGTAGATACTATGGCCCACATTCCTGTTGAGTGTATGAACCAGAGTTGGACTGCTGGGTCACAAGGTATGCGTATGTTCTATGTTAGTATATATTGCAAAGCGCTTTCAGAAGTGGCTATAGCAATTTCCACTCCCCCCAGGAGAACATGTACGTTCCAACTGCCTCGTATTGCCCCCCAAACATACTTGAAATGCAACCAGAATTCACAAGGAAGTACAGGAAATCCCTAAGGGCTAGAAAGAAAACCAAGGAGTAAGCTGAAACCACCAATTAAGTGAAATTTGAACAGGAAGCCAGTGCTGGTTCAAGAGCAGAGCTGATGTAGAGGCTACTTTTGGATTCTGTGGCGACTGGAGACCAGGCCTTGGACCCACAAAATGGAGAAGCAGAACCAGAGGACCCCTGCGTAGAGACAATCACCTGCCTGACAAGGGAATCAGCCAGGACACCTGATTCTCACCACCCCTCCCAGGTGGGAGGGGTTTCCTCTATGACTGTAATCGCAGTCTGGCTTTGTGGGGCTGGGGTGCAGATTTAAGAAGTCACTAAGTCAAGAAATTAAGTGAAATCAAAGTCAATCTATAAATAACAATTCTAATAAAACTGTTCATTAATTTTCACAAGACCTGTGAATGCATAAGATAGTGAGAAACTCAGAAATGTCGATTTAGAGATTAACTCTAAAATGAGGATTAAGTAGAATGCAGTCTGAGCACTAAACTTTGTGAATTCCCAGATAATAAAAGAGAAAAACAATACATTTCTTATGCAAGTTAGTACCTACAGCAAAAGCAGGTAAAAGACAAAACTGACTTGGATTATAACCCTGCCGATATAAATTATTTTATCTATGTTTTTGGTAAACCATTTAACATTTTTTGCTTCAGTTTCCTTATCTATGTTTCAAATATTTATATTTCATAGAGTTGTTATGTGACTTACAGAAAAGATGCATAAAAAGCTCTCATATTCTCAGCACTTACTAAACTCTCGATATTTATTAGCTGCTGTTATTATAATCAACATAATCATCACCAATTAGAAAAGAGCCTGAATATTCATCACATCAACAAATGTCACTGATCTCAATATAATTCTGGGTGATGTTACTTTAAATTACAAACAGAAATGATAAAAGATGTAACCCAAATCTACAAGATTTTAATTTCTGATCCATAAAGAATGTTATATATAATTTGTATTATGGCTCAGTTAAGTCAGCGGGCAATATATACAAGCAGTGACTTTCTCTTTAATGAAACACAAAATGTCAGAAAGATAATAGGGTATCACATATCGAAACACTGCTACAGGTGTGAATTCTACAGCAATACGCTGGGCTCAGTGGTGAACACAACTGCTGTGTGACAACAGCTACAACTACTTCACAAACACTTAGTGCTCATCAATCCACACAACTTTATGAAAGAGGAACTAAGCATGTGCCAGGTGCTAAGTTAGAGCCAAGGACTGTGGCAATGAATAAGATAACAGTTCTGCTCCTTATGGTGGAACACAAAATGTAGCGAAGTTAGACATGGGGAAATTGTACACAGGAAAGGGGGCTGTTGCAACGATGGACAAAATTTTACTATGTGGAGGAGGTGGAGGAGGGAAGGTGAAGAAAAGAATCTAAGGTCTTTCCTGATAGGTAGCATTGTGTGAAGAGGATAAATGTTGTGATGCTAGTCCCTGCTTCTGGAAATGGATTTCCCAGGGGCCTCAATGGGGCAGGGTGTCCTATACTAGTAGAAGAGCAAGAGATCTAGATGTGTTCAAGTAAAAGAGCAGCAGCGTAGGCTTCAGCTTTTACTTCCGCTCACATCCCATGTACCCGGACTTAGGTAGGTGGCCACCGTTACCTCAGTGGAGGCTGCAGAAGGCAAGTCTTTATTTTGGGTGGTCAGGGGCCCCTCTGAAAACTGCAGGATCCGTTATTACAGAGGAAACAGTAGAAGAGATGGTGAGGGCCAATGAACCAACTCTACCATGGCCCTTAAGGAAAGCTGAGGAACAAGGGGCCGGTGCCAAGGGGACTAAGTAGAAACCCCTAGTCCAGTGGTCGGCAAACTCATCAGTCAACAGAGCCAAATATCAACAGGACGATTGAAATGTCTTTTGAGAGCCAAATTTTTTAAACTTAAACTATATAGGTAGGTACATTGTTATTAACTTAATTAGGGTACTCCTAAGCTGGCCTTTGCTAAAAACGTCCTCAATCTGATTGAGGTATGTTCGCTGAGGTCGACCCCTTCCAACTCTCCCATCCACACTCGTCTTGTATACTTGTTTTGTCTATCTCCTTTCATTCATCCTCTCTATATGGCCACCCCCCCGATTCTTCTAACGCCACTTCTTCAAAATAGACTAGCCCAGGCTGAAAACCGACTTCTGCGCATGGGCCACGAAGTTTCATCGCACTGTATGTGTGCGCCCGCATGTGGTATTTTGTGGAAGAGCCACACTCAAGGGTCCAAAGAGCCGCATGTGGTTCGCGAGCCGCAGTTTGCCGACCACTGCCCTAGTCCAAAGAGCTAAAGTCAGAGTCAAGGCAGAGAGCTGAGAGTCTGAGATCGGACAGAGGGAGCAAACGTGAAAGAAGTTTGCAGATGTCCAGGAGGTAAGGTCCAGTGCAGGTTCTGAGAACAACCTTGGGTGTGAGTGTATCCAGTTTTGCAGGGCAGGGGAGCTGAAGGCTGTAAAAATGGGAAGTGATGGCATAAGCCAAAAAGTAGATTTTGGGGTGAGTGGTCAGAAATGAAGATGGCTGGAGTCAGCTGTGGAGGACTGAGTGCTGAGGAGTTTGGATGCTTCTCTATAGGCATGAGGATATGTTCAGGTAGCCAGTGGCATGGTCGGCTCAGCTCTGAAAACCAGCTGGTGCATTTGGAAGATATATTGGAAAGAAACAGGGTGACAGGAAGGAGATCGGTTAAAAAGAATGAATTGATTCAACAAACATTTAGCACTTTTTAAAAAATATGTTTTTATTGATTTTAGAGAGAGAGGAAAGGAAATGGAGAGATAAAAAGATCGATCGGCTGCCTCCTGCACACCCGCTACTGGGGATCGAGCCCACAACCCGGGCATGTGCCCTGACCACAGCCCGAGAATTGAACCAGCAACCTCCTGGTGCATGGGATGACACTCAGTCCACTGAGCCACTCAGTCCACTGTTTGGCTGGGCAAACAATTGGTACTTTAGGGCCGGAAAGTCTGCTGGGCACAGCATATACAAAGATGGAAAAGTGATTTGGGGAAGGAGGCAGAAAGGGAGAGAAGGCATGCAAACAATTACAGTTTTGAAGTTCAAGCTCTCTAAGTGTCAAGGGGTGCCCTGGGAATATCTCACTCCTGGAAGCCAAGACTTCAGCTGAGATGTTTTCCAGGCAGGGAGGGGTCAGGACAGGAGAGGAGGCCACTTGAGGTAATGGGAACAGCAGATGCAAAGGCTGGGAGAGCAGAGAAAGCACAGGATGTCTGCACAGCAGCTGGCAGCGCATGGTTAGATCACAGAATGCATTAGGGGAGGAGACAGGAGGTGTGCTCGAGGAGGTAGACTGAGGCCAGGCCAGG